ACTTTTCCGTATGACTTGATTGCTAAGTTTGAAATTACATGCTAATGAAAGGTGATAAACAGTAGCAGTTCAATTACTTACTTTGTTGATTGCGCGTGTTTGGTTGTAAGGAGTGATAAGTATTTTTTCGATTCACGTTCTATAATAACATGATACCATATTCAACACCGGAAAAAAAGAACTAATATGACGGGGTTAAAAAGTAAAATTAGATTCTCTTACTCATTGTGATTTTTATTCAGTATTACTTCCGTTGTTTTAATTCAGTATGATAACTACTCAGTGTAGCATGTGGTTTCCTTTTCCCACTGTGATATTTTACTCGGTATAACATTAATTTATTTGAGTGTTCATTTTATTCAAGATACAATATTCTTGTATTAAATTAACGTCAATTATGCTCAGTATGACGTGTAACATGTATTTTTTCATACATGTGATTTCACCCTAAGTAGTTGTCAAATAGGTGTACAAATCAATATATAATTGAATGCATTTTCGACTAGGGTCGTCGTCGTCTTTTGAGTTTAACAAATCCTACCTTGTATCAGTCTTGGTGTTCTTACTTCGCATCGTGGGAATTGCAGTGGTTCGTCGTTTTACAAATATGAGTACTAATCGATTCCAACATAAATTGGCAGCTCAGCCATAACAATCATTGAAGACCAGATATAACAAGCACGAAATGAAACTCATTAATAACATCAGTTTTCAGTATTTTTAAATTAATAAAGTTGAATAGTATTTAAAGTTGACTTGGAGAATTTCTGTGAAGTGTCCTAAAGAACAAACTTATTAGCTTACTTTGAAAAAAAAGGCTGGAACTGATAATTAATGGAGAATGGGTAAAAGGAGACTTATTGAATGACACATTATTGGAGACCATAAGATGTAGGTGAGAAAAGAATGAAAAATTGGAAGCAGTACAAAAAATGCCGTTAAATGAAGAATCTTGAATTATGTTTACTGAATATAAAAAAGTACTAGATCTATGAATCAGAGGACAAACGATATAAATAATTATGTACATTACAACTAATATATTTAGAATCTTAAAGACATGTCTGCTTTCTCAAAAGACATGGATTTTTTTCGGATAAATGTGGATTTTACTTACCATCGACTTTCACTAAAACTAACTGAAATTCGTGGTTTTGTCTCTGAAGTTCAGGTTAGTTTATTGAAATGTCTGATATCCTCACGAAAGATTTAGTAGGCTGATACGAAGTAAAGCTTTTGTTATGATACTCGTCAACTATTCGGTACCATTTATATAATATAATTTGTTTTCAATCGTATTTATATTGATTTATAGGATAGTCAATAATTATTTTTTCTTCATTTCTTCAGCACAAGGCTATTTTGTATGCTTCATGAGTTTGTATTCTGACGGTATTTTTCTTTTAAATTATTACCTTAATGAAAAAATTTAAGGACTCCCCTCCAGATATAATCTTTTATTGGACAAGAGGAAAATGGAATAATGTTAGCTGTTGTTGCATTTAAAAGATTTTATCAAAATGTATTCACGTACTGTGTTGTTGTCTGATAAGTGTTACTTAGTGACTCGAAACCCTGTCATTACACTTAACTGTTAAAAAACAACTATTCACATACTATTTTGCACATGTTGAATTCCGTGTCACTGTGATTTTAAACAACTCGATGATATAGTATAATCAATACTTAACTAGCTAATTTGGGCTAATGAACTGATCGAGGGGACAGGTCAACAAAGATAACCTACTAAACTAAACATTTTGCATACAAGTTTCTATTTTCAAAAAAAATCACTTACCTCGTAAGCTCTGCGTTTTTTCATATCTCCGTAGACTCACTTTTATAACAGTGGTGTTTCATTATAATATCGAGGAAATGAATAATCTTTTTATCTATTCCCACGCCATTAACAAACTACAGATTTCTTTTCTATTAAATGTTTATACGACTAATGAGTAGTATAAAACTTACAATTAAATTATATGCGGTAACGAATAATTCTACGATTTTCTTCATTGTTTTTTACTTGTTTACAGTAAAATATAAATAAGTAGCTAATGAAATGAAAGGGATTGACAAAATTATTGGAGTATAAATAAAAACGTTCGTTAGTGCTACAATTTACACTAACTAAATTTAATTTATGGGTATAAAGTAATTTAATTCACTGAAATATTGTTTTTAGTATAATAATTTATTATATAATTAAGGTTGTTTCGATTTAAAAAAAAATTTATATGCCGTTAACAATACAGGAACGAACATCATCTTATCTGTTTATACAGTGATGCCTAATGTATGAAAACATTAAGTAGGACACTGTATGTATATATATAAACTATCAATGCTCAAATGATTTTATGTTTTATTAGATTTTAGAAATGAAAACATAGAAACAATTACTAATAAATGGGTAAGTAAATAAGTTATTTCAAAGATGACGAATGCTATGAGAACTGGCTAGTTTTTTTTAATATAATGCCTAATAACAATTTTTACTATGTTTAATATTAATCCCGTTTAATAGTGCCAAATTATTGGATTCTATTTCACTAATAAAAGGTTGATACCTATTATAAAATCATAAGAATTAACACTTAATTCCGTGTGAGATCTTGAGTTTAATTTACTCATGTGTACTGATTTTGCGACAAAAAATCTATCGAATACTCGTCAGTTTTCTATATATCATTATCTAATGCTTATTCTTAAAAAAATCTGTTGCTAAATTAAACGAATCTTTATCAAATAAATCAGCTAAATAAAGTTTGTCATTACGGTTTTGTAAGTTTATTATAGTTTCATCAGTGTACGCGATATTCATTGTTTAAAATAAGTGATATTTTTAGTGTAGGTTTAACAGTTTAGAATTTTGTTTATTTCCAAAGGATACAATACGAAATAAATAGTTCTTATTGTTCATGATTGTGTTTAAGTACTACATTGTTTACTTATTAATATAAAAGAATTCTCTTAGTTTACCCTTCAGCGTTTTAATTTATTCTTCTTTCTCTGGTGAATTATGCTTTGTCCAGCGTTCAGGGAATTGTATTATTCAGCTGCGTTGATAAAAAGAGTTTTTCATGTTTCAGGGTCGGCTATGTAAACAGTTATTGGCATTTTTGATAAGACATTAATAATGTTATTTCCATTTGATTAAACATCTATTTTTCTGTTTTATTATTTTTATTAGTTCATTGGATTAATCCAGTAATTTTACATATTCATATCGTTATTTATCTAAATAATAAATTTTTGTTATCGTCCACCTTAACCAAATGCTTTGGTCACTGTTTTTTTTCTTTTCGTTTTATTCTCTTCTTAAATACGTATTTGATAAGGTGTATTTTTGTAAACGGATTACGTAATTTGCAATAACCTCGTTTTGTTGGGACATTCAGTTTCAAAGTGAAAAAAATTGTGTACAAGTAAGATACTTTTTAATGTAAATTATTTTCCAATAAGTTTGTCATATATCTTCCCATATTACGAATATTTTAATGTTTTAAGTTGGTGAAATAAAAATACACTAAATAGAGTTTTGATGAAATAAAATATTATGGGAGTTACTCAAATAATTAGTTTCCTTCCGTTATCATGTCATCAAATAGTTCAGGGTATGTCTTCATTTACATCACCAATTGGATTTAAAGATGATTCTGCAATTTCGTGGACCTATCCAATTTACGTATTCATACTATTGGTACTGGGTTAGTAATCTAGGGTTGAATTGCTCGCTGTGATACCAAAAGCTCTTGGGTCCACTCTTAACAGAGATTTTAAGTGAACATTGTCTTGGAATTTAATACAAGAGCAAAAAAACCTTCCACTGCTTCCTGAATTTGAGTGTTCTTTAGGATCAATTCGTGATGTAAGTGATGAAATCGTTAATAGTAACTAAAACCAATTAAATGAACGATCCGCGGAAGTTATTTTCATTCTAAGTTAGCTGTTTGTATAAACTTACAAAACTATGTCGTAAATTTAGAAGTGTTGAAGAACACTGAAGGTACTCTTATTGTAACCTGACCAAATAAATATATACTCTGATATAAAGCTAAAAAGCAACTGTTAAATAAGAAGGATTGAAAAATGTACAGAAGAAAGCATCATTAGATAACAATTAGTTAAACACTTGGGTAGCAAGAAATTTAGATTATACTTCTTGACTAAAATTTCTTTATCATTTTACAATAAAAGATTGTATAAAAGTTTGTCATTCATGACTAGTTAGAGAACTTTTGATATAAAAAATTGTATTTTCTCTAAATTTTTTTCTTTCAGGTGGAAATTTAATTAATGTCATATGATTTATCTGTTTTGAGTAGTTGGATTAAAAGTAGTAGCTTAAAGTTCTGAAGAAAATCATTTAAAAATAAAATGTATATTTATATTAACTGGCAATAAATATCATAACGAGTTTTATGGATATTATAGTAATTTCAATGGTTGAGATCATGAGTCAGTTGAAGCTAAACCACCATGGAAAACCTAGAAGCACTGGACGGCTATTTCATCCTATTGTGGGACTCCTCAACGGTAAATTTGTTTAAGTGACGAAATGAACTATTTTGGATGCACACTGCTGAGGAGTCCCACTATATGAAAAAACAACAATCTAGCACTTCCAGGTTTTCCATGGTGGTCTAGCTTCAATTGACTGGTGACCTCACCCATTGAAATTAATAATAAATATTTAAGAAAAATTAACCAATCACAAACACTGTCGAATAATTTTATTCTGATTGGTTATCTAAAATGTTATTTACTTATCAAACATATATCTATGTATTATTATATTATTAAATTAAACTAAAACATATATAAGTTAATAATTTGAAATGGAATGAAAACAAACACCATACAATAATAACAACAACAATATAGAACATTGAATATATTGTTTATTTAATGAAGATATTTATGGATTATTAATCATGAGACAAAATAACAATGAATTGAAATTTTGTTAAACCATAATTTTCGTTATTGTTTTCATTATGAATCAAACATTTATTAATTTAACAAATTTACGATCAGATACAAATTTAACATTGTATAGAGAAAATAATATTGAAATTTATAGTGCATTTTTTGTACAGACAACAATATGTATTATTGGAGCAATATTAAATATAATAAATGTAATTGTATTAAGTCATAAACAATTTGAAGCTACACCATATTTATTTATGACAGCATTATCTTTAACTGATACTGGAATATTACTTGTTCATTTACCATCTGGTTGGGCAAGGTAAATTACATATATATATATATATATATATATATATATATATATATATATATATATATATATATATATATATATATATATATGGTTTGTAATGAAAACAATGACTGTTATCGATTCAGGAATTCGGATATTATTATTATTATTATTATTATTATTATTATTATTATTATTATTAGAAGCCTTATTCAACATTATATTTTTGGTACAACATAGAATTCTCAGCATAAAGTATTTCAACAGGTTTCCTTTTATACCTTGATCGATTGTGACGATAAATTTTGAATGATGACCAGTTAGATGTTAGGAGTTCAGTTATCCACATTTGATTAATGTTCATTCGTTTCAATGCATATTGCCGGCCACCATGATGTCGCTGATTGTACCTTTTTGTATCCCGTATAGCGAAAGGTTGTAAACTTTTCACAAACGTGCCTGAATAGATTGTGTGCACAATAGACATAATGATGTGCTAAAAACAAACAACAAAACAGATAACTTGATGAAATATCTAGATCGGAAGAACAGGTAGCCCAGATATTCAAGCAGGCCGCCTTATTATAGTGTAGTTAAATTCCTGTAATTATTGATGATTACTATTTTGTCTATTTCACTGAGACATTAAATTGTATAAAGCAATAACTAGAATATTTCATTGTAGTTTGATGCAAGTTTTATTGTGTTTACTACCTCAAAATCGCTACTAATTAAATCAGTAATATTCATAACTAGATGAGGTATTTATAGATACTATTTATAATTCATCTTTCTATACTTCATCATATCTTTTTAGGAAGCTGTTATTTAATAGTGTTGTAATGATTAAACGATTAATGTTATTTTAATAAAATGAAATATAAACATGGAGCTTCTGAAGTATTAAGATTTAAAACTCATTTCCTTTAACAATTTGTGCACTTAGAAGTGAGTTATAATAATGTAATGAAACTTTGGTCAATTTAGTAATCATTTTGATTAAGTTGTGTCAATCATTAGCTGGTTAGATGAAGTTAATGTAGAATCCTGGAATACAATGAATTAACCTTCTATCCTTAGTATATCTATATATTTGTATATAAATATACAGAAAAAACTGAAGATACAGCCCTCAGATTAAATTATTGTATGTTGGAAATCACTTCAAAATATATGGTAAATTCTTAATCTTACGACCTGAAACTATTTAAAAATATAGTCACTTTATTTTAAATAATATTTAAGAGGACAATCTTTCAATAAAATAGGCAAAAAAATGGAGGGGAAATTAGATAGATAAAAATGTTTTTATGCTAAAATACATATTATGTAAGTATACTTCGTTGGATTACTAGCTGGATTAAGAGAGGATTTCAATTCACTAAATCAAAAATAGTTATGAAAAATCAATTTCTAGTGAAAGGCGACCAGTACTGCGTTTCCATTTAAATGCCAATCAAGAGAAATTAGGTCATATAAACTAGTTTGAATGTGATCTATTTAAAATAGTATACAAGATAGAACTGGGCATTTGTTTGATCTACCAGATTATTTATAAGTAATAAAAGATGAGTGTTGAAAAGAATATTTATTACTTAATTACGCCTGCTACCTCTCATAGGCCGCACACTAGCACTCTCCAACTAACCATGTCTTTTACAGTTGTTTCCAGTTGCTGTCCATTTTTTTCGTGTCAGCTCCCGATTCTCAGTTCAGCATGTTGCTTGGCCTTCCACTTCATTTCATTTCAGGGTTCAAGTTAGCACCTGACTCGTGATGCAGTTTGATGATTTCTTCAATGTCTGTCATATCCACTTCCAACACCTTTTCCTAACCTCCTCTTTAACTGGGGGCTCATTTGTTTTCTCCCACAGTAGGGTGTTGCTGATGGTATCTGGCCAACGGATATTAAGTATCTTGCGTAGACAATTGTTTATAAATAATTATACTAATTCGGTGATGACTGTGGTAGTTCTCCAAGATTCAGTCCGGTGAGACCCATGTAGCTTTTTGTATGAGTGTGTGGGGAAACATTTTGTCGCTTATAACCAGTTTGTCGAATACACATAGATTTGAAAACCTCTCTTCATTCTCGTTCTTTTCTCCCAGTTAGTCCACGTCGCCCCACGATATCTTCATATCAGATGTTGTCCATTCCAGTTTTAGCATTTCGATCTATCAGGTTGGTCGATTCGTGTTGGGGACGATAGATCCCCAAACTCATATTTTGAATTTTATCGCATCGTTCAACTTATTGATTAAACGTTTAAATATTTGTATTGGAGTCAATTGATGAACTATCGATTAAATGCGCAAATAGGTCAATTAATGAACTCATTGATTAATGTTTAAAAATTTTCTATCGATTGTAAATAATTGTATAAATACGCTTGACTTGTATGCTTGATCTGATCTGCCTGCCTGACTTGTTATCTGCTGTTGCTTGTAGAATATACTTTCTACGCCTTACCAAGACTTCTTGATCGAGTTAGCAGAGTTGGGGACAACGGACCAGAATAGTCTATCGAGATTCTGAATCCTTGATCTGATCGATAAGTCACTGTCATATAATCGGATCTCTCTTTGAGCCATAACAATTCGTATCCTGGACGCTTCGCTACGGCTGACTGCAGCTTCTTGTAGAACTGATCTTTATCGTTTTCGTTGCTATTATTGGTGGGTGCATAACACTGAATAACATCCATTGTCATTTCCACCTTTGTTATAAAAGATGCTTCGACGATTCTGGTTCATTAGACTGAAGACCGATTACACGAATCTGTGCATAACGTAATCACCATCTACAGATTCATAGTGATATCAATTGCGATTTTTGCATTAATTTTCGTTTTCTCATTAAAAATTAGCTAATCATATATATGATACCCATAATGCTACAATTGGAAAATAACTACCTAAATTAAAACTGACTTACACAAAATGGTCGTTGTTCACTTTCTTGATCTGATTGCTTTACCGGTACAAGTGGTCGACGTAATAGTAGCCGACGTAATGCCATATTTTCTTCTCTCAATCGTTGAATCCGTGCTTTTAGTTCAGTAATTATTCGAATTGGTTGTTGACTGACCAAATCATTTGTACCATTTTTATTATGATTTAGTGAATATAATAATTGATGAATAGATGAAAGATCTTTATGCTTTCTAAATATATCATGTAGAATGAATGTGAAGACAGATTATGTTAAATTAAAATTTACATGTTTTCACTGCATAGACATTTTTCTCATGTTAATGTGTATTTCAGATCTCTACTCATACATGGTAGGGACGTATTTTTAATATTCCGCCATCAGGTTAACTAAACTTAATCACTAACATATAGCCTTACAGTAAAAGTGATTTCTGTTGTCTATTAAGACTGTGTAGAAAGTTACAAGTTGATTGTTATAGGTGTCTTTGAAGCATTATTCGTTCAAGTCGGAAACCCTGATTAGTCAAGCAATTTCTGGGTTATATGTAGTCATAGATGGTCATTACAAGTCACTTAAAAATTCAAACCTTTGTTGAGTGATTTAGTTGAAAAATGTGTAACACATATCTAGCCAACACGTACATCGTCACCTTATGCTAGCTTTTATGAAATCAAGTTCTAAAAAGCCTCAAAATTACAACTTAATCAGTGATTTTTGCAATGGTTTTTATGACTTAACACTAATCATAACACGACCCTTCTGTTTTTGTCGATATTTATCATAACGATAATATTCACCTTTAACTGTATATTTGCAAATCGAGTATTAAAAGTATTACTCTAGGAAATGTATTTATTCCAAATTATTTCTTATATAAAGTTTTAAGTTGGTCAGCTAGAATTTCCCATAATGAAATTCATTAGTTATTGAAGTAATAGGGAAAAGTCTGTTAGTTATCTTTTTGAATAACGGGATTTATATAAATAAATGATTTTTTATTTAGTTCAATTAGTGAACTTTTTCGTTTTTTACATTCCTTACGAACTTAGGAATTTCTCATTCGGTCAGATGATATACAATTACTTTATTGACTGAGGTTAAACAATGGTATGTAACGTTTTATATTGATTTCTTAGTTAAATTCTTCAATACGTTTTCTAGGTGATAGCAAAAAATAATAGAATAATGTAAAACCAGAAAGTGTTCTGAATTAACTGGTTTAATAGTAAGTTGTTTAGTCGGTTCAAATTACTATCTCAACAAATATGTATTTAAATTCACATGGTATTGTTTACTTGGATCTTCGCATTGATATGTAGTACTGCAACTGATCAGTCAATTATTGGCATATATGGATACTGTCCGTATTGCCTCGATATTGCCTTAATTCACAAACATTATAAGCAAAGGTGGATAGTGGCTAGTAGTGGGATACAGGACTCTCGTTTCGTCCTAATTGAGAATTGACAGTTGGATGTACATGCATCACCGGTTTAGTGTTCTTTCTGGGACTTGATACTGGATTTCACTGCTGGCCACTATCTATCTTTTCTTAAATATGTATTTATTTCTTGGTTTAAAATTTATTAATCTTAAAAACTACTTAATTGTCATAAGATAAACCACATATTTTTATGTTGTTAATTTATGTAGCGTTTAAAAATGTATATTATCAATTAGATTTATTAAGTTGAATTACTTATATTACGTTGTGCTGGCAGATGTAATAATATGCATTCAACGAGTTTTTACATTAATCCCATTTTTACAGTAAACTGATGCAAAATGTCGACTATGGAATATTGTTTAATATGATAACGAATGAATAATTCTTTATAGAGTTAACTTTTCATATATTATTTGATATTATGATGAATTGTTTATATAATGAAAGTCTTATATTAGTAGGTTATATATAATTACTTACGGTTTTTATGTAGTAGTATGTATTAATTTAAAATTTGATTTAATTTCGAACGGTAGGCGCAAAGTATATATATATATATATATATATATATATATATATATATACCTTATTCTAAGGTGTTCAATTATAAACTTTCACCTTAAGTTATCTTCTACCATGTAAAAA